CTATGGTATTTAAATATAATAAAATTGCCGTAGCGTTTAAAGTAAATATAGTATATTAAAATGCGGCCAAATATCTACATAAATAACATAAACTTTGTAAATCTAAATGGTTGCTATATCATTTTTAAACTCCATATAAGCGCTCGTGTTTCATGCCTCGTTTCATGCAATAGCAGCAATACATAAAGCAGATGAACTGGCAAATATAAATACGTTCATACTTTATATCAAAATACGACAGAAAATACACGATCGAGTCTGTTGACATGCATTTCGTGAGCTAAAATATCTTAGCAGAAGCCAGAAATTATATCCAAATCACAATGGGCTTTCACGCTGGTTGATTTCCATATTCATCACTTGAGTAATCTTGACAGAGTCAGTAAAAAGTGGGTTTAATCACGCGGAAAGCTCGCAAGTAAAGACAATAAAAGGCCAAGTCCTGCCATTTCGAGAGAGCAGGACTTCGCATTTGTAAACAGCCGGTTTGAGCATGCGCAGATCTAATTATCCAATCAGAAAGCAAGATTTCTTGTATGAATTAACTATGAAATATACTAGCAAGTCCTGCCATTTTGAAAATGGCAGGACTGAAACACGAGCGCGTGTAAATCAATATATTGCCCGGAAATGAGCTTTTATAGAGTTGCAGTTGCTAGGTAACAGACACGGCAAGCTGTAAAATTGCGTAAATGTAATAGAATACGGAAAACTTTTAAAAAATAATAACGAAAAAGACGAGAAAATTATACAAAATAACATTATGATAATAATATATTTTTAAAGCTTCAAGGTAAATAAAGTAATGTTTTACTAAGGAAATTTGGGGAAATTTTTAGTCCTGCTGGGCAGGACAAGCAGGACCGCTAGCTACGCCACTGCTGACAGTAATTGTAAACATTTACCATTGGAGAGCGTCTCCAAATGATTGTATATAATCCTAGTCACGCTTCTGGAATTTTTATTCGAGATACTGTTATGTTACCTATGACTATGTTCAAGGCATGTCGCCAAACCAAAACCACGCTCAAGGAGACGTCTGTAAAGGAAGTAAAGCCTCTTGAGTCGAGAGGAGATATATATTGTTTTCCGAATGATTTTGTAGTAAAATAAACCATGTCTAAATGAGTTAAATCAGCCACATAACGTACACACATAATCTTTATTTACCCTCGGATTGATGAAGCTAACCTGTAACCATTAATTAAGCATCCATAGCAATACATGCTAAGGCCGTGCCGAGCTGCATGTCTGGATGAGAATGCATGAGAGTTGGCAGTCACGTGACCTTGGTTAGCTGTTCTGAATGTTTTTCCAACACGATGATGTATTGTATTGAAGTTAAACATATAGTTAAAACTTTCATCAAACCTTTATTTTGTTAATCTAGAGCTTAAAATTTCCCCTGTAACAATGTTTTAGATCAGTGGTGATTGCCAACTCTCATCAATTCTCATTCCCGTTGATCTGGGCTTAAATTAAAGGGCCCCCTATACTTTTTGCGTGAAGCGTGAAGGGCTTATTTTACTTAGCCGTGAAACGTGATCGGGCCCCCTATACGTTTTGCGTGAAGCGTGACGGGCTTATTTTACTTAGCCGTGAAACGTGATCGATGATTTTCTTAACCCGTGACTCGTGAAAAGGCAAACTATTTTTATGTGAAAGCATATTGTGAAGAGGTATAGGGGCCCCTCAAATTACTATAATGTACTTGATTTTCCCTAGTTGGGCAAGAGCTTTTTATTTTTTAATACCGAGCAGAGGGCTTCGCTTTAAAAAACACCGATGGAATTAACTTCATTCCATAAAATAATGTACTACAGTATAATATACACGCAGATATGAAATAGTAGAAGTCGATATATCGCTTAATCTAATTGAATATCTGAATTGATGAACCAGTTTAAAAAATGTCACCTTCTGACCTGTGGTTGAGTTGGATAAAATATATTTTGGCTTTGTTTTTCTCGACAAGTTACTTTCTCGTGTGTATAGAGTCAACAAGTTTCCCTTGACAAGTTTACTTTCTCGTGTGTACAGTCAACAAGTTTTCCTTCACAAGTTTACTTTCTTGTGTGTACAATCAACAAGTTTTCCTTGACAAGTTTACTTTCTCGTGTGTACAGTCAACAAGTTTGCTTGACAAGTTTACTTTCTCGTGTGTACAGTCAATCAATAAGTTTCCCTTGACAAGTTTACTTTCTTGTGTGTACAGTCAACAAGTTTTCATTGACAAGTTTACTTTCTTGTGTGTACAGTCAACAAGTTTCCCTTGACAAGTTTACTTTCTCGTGTGTATAGTCAACAAGTTTCACTTGACAAGTTTACTTTCTCGTGTGTACAGTCAACAAGTTTCAATTGACAAGTTTACTTTCTCGTGTGTACAGTCAACAAGTTTTCCTTGACAAGTTTACTTTCTCGTGTGTACAGTCAACAAGTTTCACTTGACAAGTTTACTTTCTCGTGTGTACAGTCAACAAGTTTTCCTTGACAAGTTTACTTTCTCGTGTGTACAGTCAACAAAGTTTTCCTTGACAAGTTTACTTTCTCGTGTGTACAGTCAACAAGTTTTCCTCGTCAAGTTTACTTTCTCGTGTGTACAGTCAATAAGTTTTCCTCGTCAAGTTTACTTTCTCGTGTGTACAGTCAACAAGTTTTCCTCGACAAGTTTACTTTCTCGTATGTACAGTCAACAAGTTTTGCTTGACAAGTTTACTTTCTCGCGTGGACATTGAACAAGTTTTCCTTGACAAGTTTACTTTCTCGTGTGTACAGTCAACAAGTTTTGCTTGACAAGTTTACTTTCTCGTGTGTACAGTCAACAAGTTTTCCTTGACAAGTTTAC